CAGATGAGGGGGGAAAAAAAAGGAGGACAAAGGCCAAGAAAACAAAAACAAAACAGATTGAGATAGGGGGTCAAGGTGAAAAAGTGAAACACAACTGACCGGCCAGCGACCCGGCATGTCAAACATCTAAACTCATGTCCTCTGATAGTATTTCATGGTTTACCGCGGCGGCAGTCAGTCCAACTTTTCATTCCATTCCAGCCTCTTGGGAGTCACCTGATCTGTCATTTGTTTAACATTCCTTTCTAATAGTTATTTATCTGTTTTTTCTCAGTCTCCTTGGTGTAGCCAACCAATAAAGTCATGCTGTAAGCAAATCAGCCCCGCCTGCCACCAGTATGCCAGGCCAAGGCAGCCAGACTATAGGGTTCACTGGTTTCAGTGGTCTAGAGTGAGATGTGGTGGGAAGCTGCCTGTGCCTGTACATATATGTGTGTGTGTGTGTGTGTGTGTGTGTGTGTGTCTTTGTTGGATGGTATATTAATTCCCTGAACACCTGCTGTTTGCATTCTTGCCTTATCCCCTCGTCACAAACACACACACATGCACGCCACCTCTGCCTGTAATGGAAACAAACAGTGGTTAGGGCTTTTGTGCTAAAGCCTCTCGTTAGTTGTCTGACTGCCAGCTGGTCAGTTAAATTTGAAGCTTAGTTAAGCTTTACTGCTGGGTGGGGTGGACACCCAAGCTTTAACGGACCAGGTGCATAAAAATGGCTGCCTCCCCGACTTTTTTGAGATCCTCTGTAGCTCTAATTTTTGCACAGCATGAGCGTTCTGATCTAATTAAGCTTGTCCTTTTTACTGGCTGTGATTTTCTTTTAAAGCCACGTTAAGTGGGGGCCAAAGAACCTCTTTATGTTGGTTTAAGGTATAATGGCAACCCACTGTCTTTTTGTTTTCATTTTCTTCTGAACAACTTGAATTTCTTCACAACTCCGTACAGAGACCTTGAAGATGTTTGGAGAAATTGTTCTGAGAACTCTTTCGATAACCAGATTAAGCATATGAAAAGTAGGTCAGCTAGTCATACATATATACAGTGAGGCCGTTCAAATCCAAAATATGCATCTTAGTATGCAGAATTTGCTATATTATTAATTGTGAGTAAGTTGTCTGAGGGGCTAAATCGTGAAATAACTCATCACTCATCGGATAATGTGATTGATGTTACGGATTATTTATTTCATGATGAAGTCGTCTTTTACACCGTTTCTGAATTCATCACTGTCAACCGGTGTGCTATTCATTTTACAAGTCTATTCATTTAATTTCACACCACATCTTGTTCCACTCTGGCAGCAGCGTCGGCTCCCTCAGCTTTTTGGCGACGCTGTTAGATGGGGGGGACGCCATTGTGCTCTACCTGGAACTGTATCCTCGGTATTTGTTTGACTGAGGATCGGTCTCCCTGGTGAGAGCACAAGTTTCCACTGTGAACAAGAGAAAAGATGGAGATAAGGATGGAGAGATTAGTGAGAAAAAAAAGAGAAGGGTAGGAAAAATGTAGCCAACTGTAAAAGAGTGAAAGATTGAGATAAAAGAGGAGCGATTATGGGCGGAGAGAAAAAAACAGATGAAGGCGAAGAAAAAGTGTTTAGTCAACTGTGAAACGGTGAAAGATAAGACGTGAGAGATTGAGCGAGGGGGAGACTCTCTAGAAAAGGGGGTGATTAGAGAGAAAGAGAATAAGTGGAGAGGAAGGCTGGGAACATGGGGTGAAGCTGGCTGTGAAGGACTCACAGGCTGACATTAGAGAGCAGTGACTGGGGAGAGATTTAAGAGAGATGAAGAGGAGGAGGAAGTAGAGGCAAAAAAAAAAATCTGAACGATTGTAGCCAAATGTAAAAAGAGAGAGCGATAGCAGAGGGGTAAGACAGGGAGGAGAGGATGGATAGAAGTAAAGTGGTGGGAAACAGGAGTTCTCAGATTGGATGCTGCCTCGGAGTCACTCAAAAGCAAGCGGATACCTGGAATTACATACCAACAACAGAAAAGCAGCTACTTTCGTCATGGAAGCAGCTCCTTCCTCAAGTTTAAAACGATCAAATCAATGCCGCCACATCCAACAAGACTTATCAAGTAATTGCCAGTTCCTTGCTTTCCAAGGAACTGGCAATTACACACATTCTGAAAGCCTGTGAGAAGAACCAGCAGCATCCAGTCTGGATGATCTTGAATGAACTGACAAGACGGACGAGACTCAGCATGGACAAGACTTTTCCTTCTTAGTTTTTTTCACGCCATTGCAGTTTCCAAAATGCTTGGACGACTTGACGATGTTGGTTTATTTGTGACATCAAAATCATCATACTTCAGGAATTGTAAGAGTTGATATCTGAATTTGGGCTGCAAGGTGGCGCAGTTGGTAGCACTGTTGCCTCGCAGCAAGAAGGTCGCCGGTTCGCGTCCCGGTGGGGGCACCGGAATCTTTCTGCGTGGAGTTTGCATGTTCTCCCCGTGCAGCGTGGGTTCTCTCCGGGTTCTCCGGCTTCCTCCCACACAGTCCAAAAACATGCTGAGGTTAATTGGTGATTCTAAATTGTCCGTAGGTGTGAATGTGAGTGTGCTTGGTTGTCTGTCTCTAAGTGTGGCCCTGCGATGGACTGGTGACCTGTCCAGGGTGTCCCTGCCTTCGCCTTAAGTCGGCTGGGATAGACTCCAGCCCCCCACGACCCTAGTGAGGATTAAGCGGTGTATAGATAATGGATGGATGGATATCTGAATAGGAGGCAAATGACTTTATAGTTTATGTCTAGGTCATTTCTGAATCTGTCAGTTTATTGACAGACAACAAAAGTTGATTCAAACATGAAACGAGTGGAGAATGACATTCGACAAAACCGTCCGACTGGACTCAAACCAGAGATGTGGTGAATACACTAAACCCTGTAGGTCTCAAGCACGCCCTAACCTGTAGATTGACTTGACCTGTGGATTGCAAAACTCCAAAATGTATTGATATTGTACTGTAGAAAAAGTAATTAGTGGTTTTCATTCCTCCCTTTGTGTGCTTTCCATCCTTTCTGACGATCCGTCCTGCCATCATTGGTTTCTTATCACCCTGTCAGCACTGGTGTGTTTCTATAGACTTGTCTCTCTTTTCAGTTTCTATGTTTGCCTCCCCGTCCTTGTGCTTCACTTTACTTTCTGGATGCTTCTTCCCTGTTTGCTCCTTGGCTTTGTTTGGACTTTGATTTACCTGGATCGCCCTCTGTTTGTCCATCCAGTAGGCTTTGTTCATTACATGTTGTTCATTCCACCGACCTGTCTGCTCCGTGAGGCCTGCATTTGAATGCTTCTCTCTGAATTACATATAACATTATTATAGGAGAAATTGGTGGCTTCATTTTTGAGATTTCTGTTTGAACCTGCTCTAGTTGTATTTAACCACAAGCCCGTTTACGCAATCAGCAGACATCGAGCAACAGTATCATGCATGTGGCTCCTTCACAAACTAATATTCAATCTCCGCATCACTCCTGAGGGACACATCTAATTCTTTTGGCGCTGAAAGCTTTATTATGTTCATCAGGTAGTCCCCAACTTTATCTTTTTGACTCTTGGTGCCGGTGTTCAGTGGGTGTATCAACACATTATTATGGAAACGGCTGCCTGCTGTGTGTGGAAATGAGGTCGATGAGAGCGGTGAGAGTAAATTAGGACAGAAAAGTTGCAGGCTGTAAAAACAACAACTCTGAGCCAAAAGTTGCAAAAATACTCTGTAGAGAAAGTACCTGCGATTAGTTGGGGAGCCCTGTTAAGTTCCATGTGGTCATTTCATCCATTGTTTATATGAATTATTGATGCTTAAATATTCTGCTATAATGCAATCATGTATTTACTTTATATTGAGGATTCCTTTTCTCGTCCCTTTCACATGGAGAATCTTCAGTTAACAGCCACCTCATTCTGAGAGCGTGTTTGTTGTCTGGGTGGCAATCATTAATCAGACACTCATTTACGTAACCTCTCATTGTATCAGATGAGATATTAAAGTCTTCCCTGGAGCCCGTTCAAGGACACCGCAGAGGACCTTGGACCCAATTTTGGGCTTTGGGGAAGCGCTGGTCTGGCCAGCCCTCCCCGTCTCAGGCCGGGGTATGGCTCTTATTAGCGGTCCTTGCAATAGCAGCTTGGGGAAGCCTTTTGAAACCTAATATGGTCTTAAATCAGATTTATAAATGTTTAGGTGTATTATGAAAAACACACACGCCGACTGCGTTGGCAAAACCAGACTGTGTTTATGTGTACGTGTGAGTGTGTGCGCCTGAGAGCGACGGCGGGCGAGCGAAAGCTTTCGGAGACTCGTGTGGGTGAAATAAGAGAGAAAACGGTGTGTGTTGTTTGTCTGTGCCCTCTCTCTCTTTCTGTGTGTGTGTTTTTTTTCCTTGCCCTAATTCCTCCAGTGCGACAGCGTTTCAATAAACAGCATACCCGTGTAAAGGGAACCAGTCTATACACACACACTCAGGCAGTCAGTTCATATTGCAGTATGTATACATTGTGCACCCGTAGTTAAAACAGATTGAATGACAGCCAGGAAACACGATAAGCTTTTAAACTGTGATGATGGAAAGAGAAAATAATTTCATCCCACTTTTTTTTTTTCTTTACTGGAAAATTTGCTTCTCAATAATTCACAGCAACAGGAGCCGTATGTTGTCGGTGCCTGTACAGTTGGAGTGTTTGTGTGTTTTGGTTTCTGTTTGTTTGTGTTTGTATGTTTGTGTGTGCTTGTATGTATGCGTGTGGGCTCGTATGTGCTGTGGGGCATTCTCACGCTCTGTCCTACTGCCACATTCACCAATTTGGCTGAGCGAGAGCGTGAAGAGGCACATCAACACACTCAGTGGGTGCTCACTGATGTTTCTTACAATGAAACTGTATGCCTTTAAGATTGTGTTATCAACACTTAAGTCTACTTACTGAACTCAGTTTTATTAATGAACACATTGGTCAAGTCTGATTTGTAATCTCCGTTTTTCTTTTTTTTTGCAGGGATTTGAACAGAAACAACATCACCAGAATCACTAAAGTGGACTTCTCTGGCATCAAGAACCTCAGGATTCTGTAAGTTTGCTTCTTTTATCAATGAAGTTGTTACAGCCAGCTTGTTCAGAAAGTTAGTTGTTAGTTTTGCATCGAAAACACTGCAAGATTGGTTCACATTGTTAGTCAGAGAAGCTTTTTGGTGCAATTAAACTGGAGATTGTAACACATTTTCTCCAAAATTCTGAAAACAACTGCCCACAGGGTTACTGTGCAGTAGAATTAATAAACTGAACTGTGCTTTTTTGGCCCTCCTGAGCCACTGTAGGACAATGTTACTGTGTGTCTGGGCCACCTCTCGTCAAAACTCTTGATGTTGGTCTCGATGGCTGATGTTAAAGAGTAACAGAGCAACAACACGATTTCTAAATCACACTTCGATCTCCTTTTCAACTTTTTCTCGCAATAAATCCCAGGATCCTGTACCTTTAGCCACACTGGAGCTGATTTTTCTGACAGCATTTCTCAAGTCAAACATTTAAAGGGCGTGCCAGACAACACAAACGTGTAGGCGATGGTGTCCACACGCGGACATGAACGTGCTTTCACTCTTTCACCAGCACTTACATATGACATGTTTGTTTTATCATTGCCAAGCCAGGTTGTTCAGCAAGTTCACATTACCTCCAGTTTGTTAGTTTTGCACCGAAACCACTGCGAGAAAATTATTAGTCAGAGAAACGTCTTGGTGCCATTAAACTGGTGATTGCAACACATTTTCTAAAGTTCCCTAAAACAACTGCCTGCAGGGCTACGATGCAGTGGAATGAATAAACAGAAACCTGGTTGAAACACAACCAGTACAAAGGACAGATGCAAAGTGTTTTATGGTTAAAATGTCTTAAAACAAATGTGCAAATCTCAAGAAAGCCGGTAACCTTATGCAGCCTTTGTTTTGTTTATGTGAACTCTTCTTATTCTGTAGCAAATGCAGAAGTAAAGTGATGTTGTCATATTGCTGGAAAAGTCATGTGGAGTAGACCTTTCTACTGAAGACAGATCCATGAAGTCAGTCGTTCCTCTGCTTGTTTTTAAAATACAGTGTGCTGCCAAACAATCTATCCTTTAGGTATGCGGTTGTATCCACCAGGTACAGTACCAGCAGGTCTTTTATGTGCTTATTCTCCTCTTTGTTTCCTTATTGTGACCTGTATTTCTGTCTTTACAAGGAATCCCATGAACAAAAAGCTGCCATGCTGTAGCAATTAAGCAAATGCTATATTTACCTAATGGGCCTACATATGGCTATAGGGGCAACAAGTCTCCATAAAATAAAGTTTCCCATCCTAATGAGGGCTTTCAGAGCAGGAGAGAATGCAAGTGTCCCATCCAAGGAGTTGAATTACGCAATTACTGGATATTTACAAGGTTAAATAATAGAGTAATTGTGAGCTGACATGCCAGTAACAAGCAGCAAGACTCCCATTTATTAAACAAGCAACACGAAAAGATGTTGACCTGGTGAGGAAATGATGGCATGCAGAAACTAACTGATGCAATTTGCGTTAGAAAGAAATCATGAGTCATTGCTCAGCAGTAAAAGATGCGACAATGCAACCTAAGAGTCTTCTCTGGCTCCCACGTTGCGCCGAATAATAGTCGAGGAATGCCGAGTTTTGTATGAAACTATGAACTTCAATTATGACACTGCTCTTCTCGAAAATATCAAATCTTGACTTCTTGCGTCACAGTGTGCACGTTTGTCTGGAAACAATCCTCACTCGTGCATACTGAAAGGTGTTTTTTATTAGGTGTAATTTTCTCGTACACACACTGACTACAAAGAGATCGGCTCTTAAAGCTCAATGCATGTGGGGCCTGAACTAATTTCATATGTCATAACTGGCGATTCCAACCATTCTGATAGATGCTATCTGTTAAGAAAGAGTTGTGTTTTTGAGGCCTGGAAAGGGGGCAAGAAACAGCTTTCTGTGCCAGACTGATACATTTTTCCATTTCGAGGGCATGTTGACTGCAGATTAAACATGTAGCTGTCAGTAAACGTTAAGAATGAACATTCAACCAAAGAATAGAGTTTCTGTACTGTGTCGTTGTGCAATCTTTTATCTTGAAGGAGAAAAAAATCAAAAATCAAATGACACGCTGAAATCATTGCTGAGACACTTTCTTGTTGAGCTCGTCATATTTAAATGGCTGCACTCAGTGTGAGAGGAGATGAGTGTGACTGCTCATCTCCTCTCAGCTGTCCTAACTGACTTCAAGGGCTCTCTCACTGTTTTGCCTCAAGTGGCTGAATTTGTGTGTGTGACTGTGTGTGTGTG